AAATTGCACTAACTGCACCGGGTTCAGGTACCAATACTAATAATCATCATGTGTGTGTTTTGATCATGGAGTCGGCTAACCAGCTCTCTTTGTGTTTTAGGCTGAGGAGGCTAAGTACAGCAAGGTGTGCGACGAGGCCTATGCGGAAGCTAAAGCTCAGACTGTGATGTATAACCGCTCTTGGTTGGACTCCCCGTGGGAGGGATTCTTTGATACTCGCGATCCCATGAAACTACCCAGCACTGGTGTTGAAGAATCTGAACTTGTTGAAATCGGTGAGTTCACATGTGTGTCTACTAACGCACATTCCCGTCTCCCCCCCCCGCTTGATAACAGGCAATCTCTGCACCCGACGAATCTCCGAATTTCCTTTGCTTCGTCCCTCCTTCAAACATTTGACTGGACTAAGAAGAGAGGGAATGTATAAAATTGCCCTGAATTCGTTAGATAGCGAGGCCGAAACGTGCGCACCTACTAGTTAGATAGCGCTTTTGACCTATTAGACGAACGACACTGACAAAATACACCGCACTTGTTGCTCTCACCGAGCGAATGAGGTAGATGCCAAGGAAGTCTACTTTCACTATAATCTCGCCTAAGTAACCGTCTCTGTACCGTCCTGCTATAGGGTCAGTGGTCAGAAGACCATGACTCGACCTGTTGGCGGCTCACGCGGTCGTCAACCCTCATGAGACTTTCAACTGCCTCAAACTCTTGTTCCCCTCGAATGAAACGCCATCTGAGGTTTTGCATCATTTCTCTTCAGTATTGCTGCCTGCTCGGACATCCACGCGTCCAGAATAGTCTCCCAACTCGTTCAAAGTTGCTTTGCCTGCAAATAAACCGACGTTTCCTTTCGATAACCAGTCCTAGCAGTTAACGAGTCGAGCAGTCGTGGCAGTAAATACGACTATTTTCACTGAATGCGGTAAAAGTTTATTTTGGTAGACTTGTTTCTACGTAGCAATTGGTTCGTATACATATTGCAATCCCAGTACTTCTCTGTAACTGCCACTTGTGATAATGACTTCGAGCGTGCGTCCCTAACTTCAGATGCATGAAATATTTGTTCCACCTCTTTCATCTATCCACGATGACAGCTTTCGCCAGATTATAATTACGGTTCAGATGTTGAAGACTGTTGGGGTCTACTACAGGGTGTCTGGCATGTCCTTTCTTGAACGTAGCATTACGTTTCCTGTGAATAATAAGCGTGAGTTGGGTGGTTTTGTTGTTGATCAAGCAACAATCGTGGGTGATGCTTGGAGTCCTGGTGGGTACCGTCTAGGTGCAACGGGTCCGAGAGTGACATTTTGGCAGACGAGGAGGCGCTCTGGTTGGTGTGTGTGTTCATTGTATACCACTCATTACGAAATACAGATTCCGTTATTATCCGCTCCTTCTTGATAGACTCCCGCAGGCTGGGGTCACCGTGAAACAGTCGTCAGATGCTAGCAACGCGACTCTGCACCGTAGTTTACATGTTCGTACAACTCTTGTTTATTCGGTTTGCCGCTGTCCACAATCGGGGATCGACCAGTGTGTGTATGTGTGTGTCTAGTGACCTGCTGAATTTTGAACGGCCGCTTCAATGTTTAGCCCTCGTGACTCGGCTAAGCATGTGTTTTTCTATGGCACCCCCATTTAGAGTAGCTTGTAAAATGTGCTTTCGATTTGAAGAAATTACTTAAATTGCGGTTGTAATGCTGATTATCGTACAGGCGGGGGACGGAGGGGTCAGCGACTCAGCAGTCTAGTGTTCTTTTCCTCATTTAAACATTACGCATCCACTTGATTGTAGGGGGTAGCATTCGATTCTACCGTTTACACAAGCAATTTGACTGAACCCGGCTGAGAAACGAGCACGTCTCTTTGGGGTTTTAGTGCATTCCGGCTCATCTTTTGACTTTGCTGTACGCTCTTTTGGGCATTTAGACGTCACATAGCACTTCCGCACTCGTTGATGGCTTACTGCAGTGTTAACTGGTCGTTTCCC